TCCAACACTTGCTGGCTCACCAGTCCCTTTGGCTGATGGAGGAGCTCTGTTCTTCCTCTTTCCTCTGCTACCTGACAGGGGCTCTGTCTGAATTCTTCCATTTCCCTTTACTGTAATCCCTGTTAATCCTTCCAAGCCTGGGGCATTTATGTGCCCCAGGGTTTTCTTCTATTATGAGGAAAAAGTTATTTGATCCATTGACCATCAGAGCCATGACAGTGACAACTGCTGGGCTGTGAACCAGATGCAGGGGGTACAGTGTAAACCCCAGCTTTCTTCTTTCTCTGATTCCCCACTAAAATTGATAGACTTCAGCTCATCAATACCTAAAATATTTATTGATCACACAAGTTAATACACTTCAGGCAAAGGGAGGCTTGAAACACCAGGGATGTGGCTCTGAGGTTGGTTTAAGGATTTATTATCTGTGGCCTCTTGTTCCTTCCCCTTCCAATCAGTCCTAGCTGTGGGACCATGCTATAAAAACACACTGGCAAAATCTTGATTTAAGAAACACATTATAAAGAAAATGTACCAGTTGAGTAAAACAAAGCAGGATTTTGGCAGTCTTGTGCAATTTTACCCTTCCTGTTTCCCCCAGACCATAAAAATCTCTTGGCAGTGGGGTTATATTTACAGGTAAGATTGGTGTCCTTGTGCTTCACAGTAATACTTTTATTACTCAATGTAAAGAGTATTATTGCTTGACTAAGATTAGGTGGCTGCACATGGCCTTTTGTCAGTATTATTTTGTCACAAGAGTTTTGCAGTTGCAAAAGAGGCAGATTCTGCTATGCTGGATTTATAGTCCTGTTCTCTCTGCAGGATTTTGGTGCCTCAAGCTTAAACCATTTTCATTTAAAGAATTAATGCAAATCTTACTGGCCCAGAGGCATGCCTCAAGAAATCATGAGGTTGGCTTAAAAATCAGGACATTTTTACACAAGGTATGTTTGGGATTCTTTTCCTTCCACCTCTGGTTTTTGAGAGAGTATTATGCACACCCTCCCCTATGGAATGATAGGAAACCTGTTAGTCTCATGAACAGGGATGAACAACTTAATCTCCTTAAAATCAGAATATAGTATTTAACTTTTTCTCTTTTACAGTAGCCAGCACAGTTATTTGGTTTCTTTAAGCAATTTATAAAGCTCAGATGTTGTTCTGTTTTGATGCTGCATGAATGTGCATCAGTTCTCATAGCAGAAAGGGTGGAATTTTTCTTCAAACAGAAAGGGATCAGAAAATTGCATTGTGATGGAGATATGTTTTGTGAGCTGTCCATTTAGGGGCTGGTGTACAGGGTCTTTTGTTTTATTCATATACAGCTCAAAATACCTTCAGGTATTGACTCAGTCTTACCTATTGCTAGGCAAAGACATTATAAATAAAGCTATCAAATATGAAGTAATTGAAGACAATGTAAAGTTTGCCACTGATGCATTTGATTTGATTTCAATGCAGGTAGGGCTGAATAGGTCCTTATGTGCCTTTAACAGGAAATCAAGGTGGAGAGGAAAAAATCTGTTGTTAAGGGAAACTGATTTTCATTATCTAGCTGGCAGTGTTTCTCTCATGAGCTTTTTGTCAAACCAGAGGAGAGATGTTACTAGAGGTATAACAAATGGTTCAGAAGAGGAAGAATTCTCCAGCTACCTCGTGGGTTTTGCTGGGTCTCTTGCAAATGTAGCATAATTGCTTCCCTGCTGTTAAGTAGTGCAAAACTCCAGAACTTGCTTTTTTTGTAAACAGGTTCGGGGGGGGGGGGGGGAGAGGAAAAAAAAAAGGCTTTGCTCTGGGTAGAAAGTGTATTCTGGACATGTGAAATCACTGCTGACTGGATTAAATGATAATGACCTCAAAGACTAAAGAATTAGAAAATGATGTAAATCAGCCAAACCCAACAGCCAGGGGTTCTCATTTCAGGTTAGTGTTCGTTTGTCACAGGGAAGGCATTAATGAAAGGAAGCAAAATGCTTGAATATTTTTTTAATTCTTATTATGCAGTCTTATTAAATGAAGCTGTTCTCTTGTTGGGTGCATTAGGGATTCATACACCCTGTGCTGAGGGGAAGGAACTACCCCTTCTATTGTTTTAGAAGTGGTGTGAGGTTTGGTACACTGGGCATGTGACTGGACTTTGTGGCTACAGATTCTGTGACCTTGGGTAAGTCATATCATCTTCTTGCCTGCATTTTCCACTGGAGGCACGTGGCTGTATTTCTTCTCTACCAGAATTTTTCATATGTATCTATATATCTATCTATCTATCTATCTATAGATATCGTGAAAAGCAATTCCCTTGGACAAAGATGTCACCTCTCATCAATATTTTTTGTAGAGAAACCAGCAAATTACAGCTCTGAAATTGAATTAAGTGTCTGGGTATTAAAACTGAGCATACAATAGTGCCTCCCTCAGTGGGAGGGAGCAATGAACGAACAGGGGATTAATGACATGAAGCACCCACTGTCTCAACACTTTGACCTTAATCAGAGGTGCTGCAACAGCTTGGAGAGTCCAGGAAGGTGGAGCACCAGAGCTGAAATAGTCATGGTTCTATAAACAAAAGTCTTTCACAGGCTCTGACAAAAGAAATAATCTATTTATGTCCTGTGTTAATCCTGTAATATCTTGCAGATTCAGAAGCAAGAGATGTGTGTGGCAGACACGCAGAGGAAATGGTCCATCATTCCAATGTCTCAGCCAAATGGGGCTGTAGGGGGTAGGGGAGCTGCTGTGAGGGGGTACTGAGGAACATCAGGAAGGATGCATGTCCTGGAGGTGTAGGTGGGTAGGAGAGGTTAAGTCAGAGTGCTGCTGAGCTAGTGAAGGGTAAAAATTTAAAGGAAGGGTACTGGAGGAACAACTGAGGGGGTTTTTTGTCACTAAATGCCAAAATCAATCTGCAAATTAAAAAATGAAAGCTAATTTCATCAGCTTTTATCCACCAGGATGTGAAGGCCATCATCCTTTATAGGGCTGCAAGTTCTAGATGATGTGCAGTGACATTAGATCACCATATGGGATGCAGACAGTGGTGCTAAATTAGCCCTTCCCTGCATCCACTGCATGAGTAATAAATCCCTCCACGGCAGCAAAATGAGCTGGGTGTGACACAGGTGGGATGAGAACTGGTTCCAGAGGGCACCACAGGCTGTACATGGAGCAGTCCAGGTCTGTCACCTCATGGGCTGCTCAGCAGGGTCCCTGTGACAGGGCCAGTGTGACAGAACCACAGGGTCACCAGAGTTGGAAGAGGCCTCCAAGGTCAAGTCCACCCACCAACCATGATCACCCCTGAACCATAATCACCCCTCAGATGCTTCTTGAACACTTCCAGAGACAGTGACTCCACCACCTACCTGGGCAACTTATTTCAGCACCTGACCACTCTTCCAGTGAAAAATTATTCTCTAATCTGGACCTTCCCTGAGGCCATTTCCTCTCATCCTGTCTCTTGAGACATGGCAGGAGAGTCTGACCTCCACCTTCCTGCCAGGGAGTTGCAGAGAGTGAGAAGGTCCCTCCTGAGCCTCCTTTTCTCCAGGCTGAGCCCCCCTAGAGCTCCCTCAGCTGCTCCTCATGGGACTTGTGCTCCAGACCCTTCCCCAGCTCTGTTCCCTTCTCTGGACTCACTCCAGCCCCTCAATGTCTGTCTTGTAGTGAAGGGCCCAAAGCTGACCCCAGGGTTTGAGGTGTGACCTCACCAGTGCCCAGCACAGGGGGACAATCCCTGCCCTGGTCCTGCTGCCACACTATTCCCGATCCAGGTCGAGATGTCCTTGGCCTTCTTGCCCACCTGTTGGTGCAAGGCAATCATAACCACAGGTTAAGCTCCAGTTCAAAGCCTGTTTATGCTGCTCAGGGTTGCTAGAGTAGCACAGTACAGCTCCAGGCATTGCTGCAGTTGGATGGCTCTGGACAGGTACAGCTGAAGTGCACATTAATGGTGATCAATGTCAGGGCCACCAGTGCTTTCTTTCTCTCAGAAAGAATGTGGTCTCTTCAGTGATTTTGCTGCAATAATGTAAATTCGTGGTGATATAGATTGGCTGATCCCCTTTTCTGCTCCCAGTTAGATCTATTTTCATTTCTAATTCTGAAGAGCAGCAATGGAAATGGTCGTAGTTTGCTTAAAACTGCAGTCCATCAGACAGAGGGAATGACTGTGCTGAATATGACTGGGGGTGTAGGTACCTTGTGGAGAATGGTTTTGCTCAGTGCAGCTATAATTTGAGGGGGATTCTGTGTGAGGCAAAATGCTTTACTCCTTGACCTTAGACAAGCAATAGCTGACTGAACAGGTTGTGTAGAAATTAAATGATAATTCTGGAAATTATGAAGCAAATGTGCTGCCTTTTTTTTTTTATTGTATAACTCTTACCTGCAGTTGTTTCACATTATACTGTTGGTGTGTTGCCTTCTTGAGATTTAACCACCTAATATATGCAAATGCATATTAATGTGTAGGCAGGTTTTGCCTAACAATTTTCCTGGAAGGGTTTGAAACTGAAGCAGAGAATTGCATTTTGAACAGTGACAGACATCTTGTGAAATATATAATTATATATATATAATGGGGAGGGGAGCATGTTCACAGCACAGGGGATGGGAGCTACCTCAACACAAGTTTCTAATAGAGATGCCCTGTTGTCTCCTGATTTCTGATCCTTTGTCAATCAGCAGAGCTGTGTTTACCCACAGACCATATTCTGACTCTGGAGAACAGAAGTGATATAGTTGTCCTGGAAATCAGTGGTGCTAAGGGCAACTGTACAGTTCTTTTCTGCACAATGAAGTCCTTGAGAGTGATTTTTAAAAACTTGGCATTGCAGCAAAGTTCTTTTCTGTGTTGTTGTCCTTGGTACAGTGTTTGAAAATGAAGGGGAATTAGCCACAGTGGGGAGACATTGTGCTGGAGACTGTGAGCTCCTGCTGGGTGGTGTTTGGTGCAATTTAGGCATGCTGTTTGATGGGGGCTCTACAAAGTTGGGAGAATGGGGCTACCAGGGGATGGAGGAGGGCAGGACACAGTGAGGTAAGGCTGGCATGAGGGCATGTACCTTATGTGTGTACTCTGCAGAGGAGGTGAGACATGAAAGTTTGCTAATGCAGCTTTTGCCCATTGCTGTGAGGAGGCACCAGTTTACGTGGGTGAAGTTTGCCAGGTAATTTTAGATGTTTGAGACAGAATCTGCCCTGTAGCATATATTAACAAATAAAACCCCCTCTTCCCCTGTGGATTACTGTCCTGTTGGCCAACCCTTTGGTATGATCCTATGTGCTTGCACTACTGTCATGAAAGGCATGGTCTGGGAACTGGGTTATGGGGGTGTTCCATTGAGCCTGGGCAAAGAAGGCAACAACTTAATGTACTGGGTTGCCTTTAGACCTGATCAGTCTTGAATAGGTGTGGGAAGGGTGAGAAGAGATGTCATTCTCTCAGATAGTTGGTGAGGGAACAAGCAGAAATCTGTTCTTTTTATGTTCCTGCATGTTATACATGACATTTTTTGTTTTAGCATGACAGGTGTTGTGCTCTCCTATACCATGGGACCGTGTTTCACTGGTGGGTAGAAACTGAAAGAGAATTAATTTAAGGGTATGGGTAGATGTCCTCCTTTAAAAGCATCAGTGTTGGTGTCCTCAGCCTCCTGTTTGTCATTTGTCTTAGAAAGACAACCTGCAGAGGATTTTGTGTGGATGGATTCTAGTTTTTCCCAGGCAAAATTTGCAAGGTGAGCTGATGCCCAAAATAGAAACTCCTCGAGCTAATTTGGCTGATCTAATTTGGAGTGAATTGGAGCAGTTTGTGTGAAGTTACTCCAGTAGTGATGACACCTGGTGAGCATCCATAGACATGGACAGCCCAGCCAAAGCTTAAAGAGGAAAGTACTTTTCCCTTGGAATATCTGATGACATGAGGTGTCAGTTGTCAACCAATAGCAGCTGCCTGGGAAGGACCTGTGACAAAATCTGGGATGTGATGAAATCTTGGAGACACAAGTCATGACTCTTCAATCAGAAGGAAAAACTTGTGGCTTGTTGTTGTTTTTAATACCTAGATCCTGAGCAGTCTGTGGATCTGACTCCCAGTTCTTGGGGCTGTTTGTGCAGTACTTACATGGCCCTTGCTGCAGAGCATGTGAGGATGTTCTGGCTTGTTAACAAGGATAGAAAAGGAACACTTTTTGCCTCATCTGCCCTCAACAAGAGGACCCAGCTGCCTTTTGGACCTCTGTCTGCTGGGGCAGGTTGGGGCAGCCGTGGGTTAGATGCAGTGGTTAGTGAGTATGTGACTCTTGAGCTATTTTTCTCGTGCTTTTATAAAATATAAAGTAGGAAACGTAGACAATCCACTGGTAAAGTCTAGGCAGAGGCTCTGTCAAGCTGTCATCCCTGCTGTTTCCTGGGAGCACATTCCCTGACAGAGTTGCACTTGCACAGGCAGTGTGCTCCCCCAGCATGGTGTGGGACACAGCTGGAGCCCGGGGCTGTTCCCAGGAAGCGATGGATGGAGCTGTCCTTTTGGGAATCATCTCTGGGAGTGTGGGTTTGGCTGTCCCACAAACCCTCCCAGAGGGCAGGGCCTGGTGTGCTTTATTTACTGGTGTTGCTCCAGTTTTAGGATCCCAGGTGTCAGGAGGTGTTTTCCTCCAGGCTGGTGGTAGGTGTGGAAAATCCTCATCTCCTGCCTTGCCCTGTGGAAGTGGAGATGCCCCAGCATGGAGATGCACTGTGGTCAAGTCTGCACTTTCTATCCTGTCCTCTACTGAGCAGTTATCGTGCTAATGTAAGGGGGAATTAGGACTCAGGCCATTTTTTAAAAGATAGTACTAATGCATCAGCCAAAAATAGCTCTGCTTTGTAGCCAGCTCATTACAGCAGTGCTTTAGGATGCTCTGTTATACATAGCACTAATTCTCTGGATAATACATGTGTGTAAACACTTCAGTGACAGCATTTTTACCAAACAGAAAGTAGATTTTTACCCCGAAATAGTTCTCCTAGTTTGCTGTTTGTAGCTTCTGGCAAAACACCTTCAGAACGTAACAGAGAATTAATGGACCCATGTCTGCACCCTCTGATGTGAGTCTGGTGAAAGACAAGCAGAATTTAGCCTGTTGGTTTTGGTTTCAAAGCTGGTAGCTGCAAGTGGAAAAATAAACTGGTTAATAAGTCTAAAAATCTAAGACTGAGCTTACAGAATGTTGCTATAAACTGTGCATTTAATGCTTGTTTTAGATCCAGTCTTAGGTTGTTGCCTTCACTTTTGGAAGATCTGGATTCAATTTCCTCATGTACCACAGATTCCCTTGACAGGTCACTATTGACTGAGGGGCATTTAAACCATGTAAAAAGGGACATCAATCTAAGAGGATTTCGGAAAATCGGGCCCTCTAATACATATTTAACTGTCAGACAAAAATAACGTCAATATAACATCACAATTTCAGTCTTTCTTCTGAATCCCAAGTCTTATTTAGGAACAGAAGAATCAGAAAATATGGCATCAAGGTGTATACATTACTTTTATTTTTAAAACCCTCATTGTTAATGAAAATCCCTATTCTTAAGCCAGGTGGAATTTGAACATGTGGGAGAACTTCAACAGACAGACCTCAAGAGGGGGTATTTTTGTGGTTTGGAAATGGTTGTCTTCTCATGGAAAAATCTGATTTTTCCCTCCACTCTTGTAGTGTGAAGATGAATCTGTCATGCTTCCCTGCAGATTTACACTTAAATTAGCGAGGGGGGAAGGAGTTTGCAGGGAATTAAAACAAAAATGTGGGGTTTTGCTGTACAGCCCTTGCTAGACCAATCTGACAGCTTTAGCAGCCCTCATTTTTAATGAGCTCTTGCATCTACCAGTGCTATAAAAAAATTATGAGTCATAATGGATCTGTTGTGCTGTATTAGCTGCAACTTGATCAAACAACAGCAGATCAAAGTACAGCTAATTGGGATTGTGAGGTTATTAATACTAATATTAGTATTTAGTTTATTTTTCCATGTGGTTTGCAAACAAGGGGTGAGTGGAAGGAATATACCAAAGGCCTTGGCATCCTTGGGCTGCAGGTTTATCCCATCTTAGATGATAGGAGAGGAGAAAGTGAAAGAAATGATGTGGGGAAGCAAAATTTCACAGGAAATCTTATGGTTTTATGTCTGCCACTTCACTTTGAAGAAATCTGTGATGTTCAGTGGCTTTATGGGACCATAAAGGCCAGTGGCCAGAAAACACTGAGAGGAGGCAAAGAACAGCTGCACTAGAGAATATTTCTCCCTCCTAGAGTGGCTGAGTTTGACATTGAGAGACACCTAATGCACAGGATCAGGAAGGAATGGCTGCAGAGTTTCCAAATTTTGGCTGCCCTGCTGTGCTGTCTGGTTGCTGCTGCAGCAGCTCCTGCAGAAGCAGAGGCAGCGTGGCCATGAACTGACTTTGCTGTTGCTGCTGAGGCTTTGGCCACGAGAAGGGGACACAGGAAGAGTTCCCAGCCATCAGAGGTGCAAAGGGAATTTTAATGAGTCCTGATTTTTGTGCGTCAGTAGGCAGGTGTCACAGGGAAAGGACGGTGCATCCCAACTGGAACACTTTCACCCTGCTGCCATGCCAAGTAGAAATGCAGGTTCACAGATAATTTAAAAGGATCTCCTAAATCCCTGCAGCTTCTGGCAGTAGCTCATCCCAGCTGTTTCCCATCCCCTCTCTTCCCAGACAGTGTGTGATAAACTGGAACACTCTGTTTTCTCCCAGGGCGTTTTATTGACATAACAGAAGGGCTTGTCAGGGGAGAGCGTTTCTCAGGTACTGGAGCCCCTCAGATGCTGACTGGCTCAATTTTAGTTGGAATTGGATAGATGGAAATGAATCCTACGTCTGTTTTGGCAATATGACCTTGGAGGGTCAGCAGTTTTTTTCCTGCAGGATGAAATATGGATCTGCTGCAGGTGGGAGAAGGAAGGGTAGAATTTCTGGGGACTTATCCATGTTGCATCTGGTGCCTCGTGTCCAAAGGCTAACAGATGAATCCTGTTTGTCAGGGACTGCTTACTCTCCTGTGCCATCCCAAGTGAGGTGTACATGTCCATGTGTTCAGCAACACAAGGGGAGAACAGTGGAATATACTGGAGATGCACAACATCTGTTTTCTCCAGGAAAACCCAGAAATCTTGAGAGTATAAAGAGGAGCTCTGCATCTTTTTCTATAGCTTCCTCCACCTTCTTCTTCTGTCCAACAAGTATCATAATTTTCCCTTTTACTGAGAAAATTTCTGTGGCATTTTGATCTGGCCAGGTTTTGTGATAGACTGGGATTACTGGAGTTTATTCACATATTGAAAATCTCAGTTTCAGCAATTTACCTTCCACATATAAAATGGTAGTTCTTGCACATCTCCAGAGATCACTAAGTGAATTGGGTCAAATGTGAGGAGGTCATACATATGTAATTATATGTATAAAGGCTTTTAGCTTTTTTTTTTTTTTTAATAAGCATGTGATGTTTTAATAAGAAGATGAGGTCTTGGAATGTTTGTGTGTGATAAGTGATAATTGATTAAGGATGACAAGTTAAAAAAGAAAAATAACGGTTCCCTCAAAAGTTAATTCTCTAGTTTTCATTTTTATTGGGACCCTGGAAGTCCTAAGCAGAGTAACTCAAGTGCTAATGTGGAAAAAAGTCAGGCTAATACAGTGAGTGGCAAAAGTGAGAACTAGCACAGATTTCAAGGGGGAGAGAAATCAGGATCAGTGTAGGGAGGAGAAATTCTAACCTGCTGGATGGCCAGGATTCTAAACTGTCAGTCCTCTCCTTTGTAGAAGAAATACTGCAGAAATTCTCTTTGCTGTGTGAATTGTAATAGGATGCTGGAATATGTGCAGCTCTACAAACATACCATGGGAATTTGTATATGTGCATGCTGATTAATACAAAGAACCAGATTTAAACACTGTTTTAAAGAACATAGAGTTGATGGAGGTTTTTATTTTGCTGCCTTGGGTGCCCAGCATTACTCTTCCAATGTGTCATTGTTTTTGGTGGAAACTCATTCAGGTGAAGACTTTTGAGCTTCCAAAGGCCCACTTTGCATGGGAAAATATGTCATTTCCCATCTCTGCTGTGCTCCATGGATCTGCTAGCAGTAAGGTTGAGCAGAACTAGGTAATGTGGACATGGCTGCTTTTTGCCTGGACACCAGCTGAGCAATGAACAAAAATAAAGTCCTGGTGGTGTTGCTTGGCCCCACACAACCATTTCTTTTCCTTTCTTGGAGCAGAGTTGCTGTAATAGCATTTTTCTTTGCAGGTGGAATTGGAAATACAGAAATAAATTATGGAGAACCAGGGTGTCTCCTGTCAGAAGAAATATTTAATGAGAACAAGGGTTGTGCTCATTCAGAGTCACAAGGACCCATACTGAAGAACTGCATGAATGTTAATTTTAATGTATAAAATATATGCTTGAACTTAAAAATGCAGAGTGAACAGCCTCAGGGGCAAGAGTGTATTAAGTCTGTGACAGTCTCTGTGGGTGATGATAATGTAAAAGTGTCTTTTTATTTCCCCCCCCAAACCTTTTTAATTTACCCACCAATCAGTCAGGTAACGGAGGAATTTTAAAGTGCCTACTCTCCAAAGCAGTTCTTGGAGGCATGTGCTGTTTCACATGGTATCCAGGCTGTGCTCACCCTAACCATCAGCCTCCTTTAACTGTTTCTGTGTCAGATTAAAACCATCAGAATAACGATCCTCTAGTTCTCTTTGTGATCTCTCCCTGCTCTGTTCCTCCATCTCACCAAGAGCTTGTGCCTTTCTCTTCATAAACCTCTGCCAAGTAACTCTATACCTTTGTTGTGTTGGGGGGTTTCCTCCCTGCCTGAAGGTAAAGCCATTTGAAAGAGTTTCCTTGTCCAAACTTCCTGCTGGAGTAGCTATTAATTTTCCAGAGTGCAGTCATTAAGGCCATAATATCTGATGGCTGCTTTGTATATGCCCTCAGACTGGGGAGGGAGATGTAGCTGGGGCCTCTGAGGCTTATGACTGACTCACTGTTGATGCTTTCAGTGGTTTATCCAGTCCATAACGTGGGGGCATAAATAGACTCTCAAATCATTGCATAACAGGGGCATTGCCTACAATTTAGAAGAAAGGACACTGCCTCAGTGCAGCCACTAATGCATTTTGTGAGCTTGGATGACCTCAGTTTGCCTCTTTTCTTTTTTTTTTTTTTTTTTTTTTTTTTTTCCAATTTCTAAAATGGAAATAATAGTATGTTGCCTTGGTAACATTTACAGGGGGGGAAACAACTTTTCGTTAAACGCTTTCCAATTCCCAGGTTAAACGGTTTGGAGACAGAAATGTCCTTAAATTTTATTGAGCTGACATCCTATGTTAAAACAGTAGTTCCAGACCTAGCTCACAGCTGACTGTTGAGGACAAGAGTTACCATTATTTCCCTGTTTAGGTCTCCCTTCCTGTGGTTCTGTTTTGATAAGAACTGTAATACAATCTGTTCTCTCCCATTTTTGCTTCGTGCAGGCACAGGGTTGCTGCAGGAAGTGGTTTATCTAGTGAGTCAGGGAGCTGATCCAGATGAGATTGGACTAATGAATATAGATGAACAACTTCCAGTCCTAGAGTACCCTCAGCCTGGTCTGGACATCATCAAGGTACAATTTATTGCAAAGAAAAGCCTTTCAGCATTTGGATGTCTGTTTTCCTCAGTTCCATCTTTTATCACTTCATTTCATCCTGTGTCCTTGTCCTTTTCATCGCTGGACTCGCTCCGTTTTTTGGAATGATTCAGAGCATTATTAGGTTGTTTTAAAATTGCTTTTATTCAGCTTTATTGTACTCGGTTTAATGCTTTAGGTGTTTCTTCATGTCCTAAGTATCTTGGCACTGGGTTTTCTGAATAAAAGTTCCAGGCCTCTCTTGCTTATGTAAAAAGAGAAGCTGCCCAAAGGAGGCCAATTTGCTTTGATTCCTTCCCCGAATTTGTGAAAGAGGAACTACAAACACGGAGATCTATGGATTTGTATTTCCACTGCTCCAAATTTATACATCTAAATCTTTAGATCCACAAATCCTGGATCTCTACAGACTCTGGAGGTGTAATTTGAAGAGTTTGGAATATCCTGCGTGAAATTACTTCCACACTATTAAGAATATTCTGTTTGAAACACATTCACATACTCAGATAAACTTTTGGGCCCAATTCTGAGGATAAAATAAACTGCAAGGGAAACATCTTGAAGAAGTTAGGAGTAGTGTTTTCAGAACTTCCAATAGTTTTCAAGGGATTTTAGTGGAAGCATCACTGGAAACAAGGTTTGACACCAAGAATATTCAACTATTTTATATTGTTTCTGAGAAGGTGCTACAAATGGAAGCACTTTGAAAACAAAGGGGATTAAAAACCCCAAACAACAAAAACCCCAAACAGCAAAAACCCCAACATGTTATCCAGCTTTTTTATGTTTAAAAACCAGGTGTATCTCCCTGACCTAATTTCTAGTCCCAGACTCTTATTAATTGCAGGAGTGAATTTGTGAATGGGACTCAGTGGAGTAAAGGGCTTCAAGTGTGACAGTTCAGGGCAGATGTGCCAAATTGGTGCTCAGTGAGGAACTGTTCCCTCTGCTTTGTTTCAGGAGCTGACATCTCCTCGCCTCATAAAAAGCCACCTGCCATACAGGTTCTTGCCTTCAGACCTCCACAACGGCAACTCAAAGGTGAAAATTGAATTAAATCCTCTTGGTTTAACTCTGTTGTTTAAGTGCTTTGGGGGAAAAAAAAAAATCACTCAATAAGGTCTTTTTTTTCCCCCCTAAATCACAGGTCATATACATGGCTCGCAACCCCAAAGACCTGGTGGTGTCTTATTACCAGTTCCACCGCTCCCTAAGGACCATGAGCTACAGGGGGACGTTCCAGGAGTTCTGCAGGAGGTTTATGAATGACAAGTGTAAGGAGCTGTTCTCTCTGCACACATTTATTTTCATCTCTGCGTTCCTTCTGCGAGTCCAGAAGTGAACTGGATAAAGGTGCATTTGTTTTGCATATACAGCAAGGAGGTTGCCTCACAGGGACTTCAGATTTGTCCATGCAAACCATGGCCATGCCTTTTGTAAATAATTACCTTGCAGTGTTTGACCCCAGGGGCTCAGCAGTGTTCCACTTAGGTCAGGCAGAACTCTGGTCTGCTCTTGTAAAATTCAGGTTGCAAGGCACCAGGTGTACCTTGTGAAAAATGGTGAATACTGCCAACACCACTTGATTTCAGTTCTACCTCGCTGCTTCTCAGGAGTCTTTCTGTTCCTCAAGTTCGGGGGTTATTTCTCTGGTAATTCCTTTAATATTTAAATTTCGTGCAGAAACTCAAGGTTTGTCCCTTGCAAGACACCAGTTAACACACAGAAATTCCTGATTTGCACAAGGCTGATGTGGAGTGCATCAGTGAGCTCAAGTGAGACCCTGTCAGGAGGTGGGTGCAGGCTGCTACTGCCTGAAAAATGCAGCTCTGTAGTGGGAATTCTGAAAAAATGCAGCTCTGTGGGGAGAATTCTGAAAAATGAAGCTCTATAATGAGAATTCTGAAAAATGCAGCTCTGTGGGGAGAATTCTGAAAAATGCAGCTCTGGGGTGAGAATTCTGAAAAATGCAGCTCTGTGGGGAGAATTCTGAAAAATGCAGCTCTGTGGGGAGAATTCTGAAAAATGCAGCTCTGGGGAGAGAATTCTGAAAAATGCAGCTCTGGGGAGAGAATTCTGAAAAATGCAGCTCTGGGGAGAGAATTCTGAAAAATGCAGCTCTGGGGAGAGAATTCTGACAAATGCAGCTCTGGGGAGAGAATTCTGACAAATGCAGCTCTGGGGAGAGAATTCTGAATTCTGAAAAATGCAGCTCTGGGGAGAGAATTCTGAAAAATGCAGCTCTGGGGAGAGAATTCTGAAAAATGCAGCTCTGGGGAGAGAATACAACAACCTGCTTTACAAGAACTCCCTGTAAAGTTTACTCAGTGCACTGTGGTCCCACTCAGGCTGCACTGCCTTGAGTAGGGCTTTGGCTTTTTGCCAGTGGATTTCCCAGCTGGAAAGTGGGGCAATGACCAAAATTCTGCTGCCTTTTATTTCTCTGCAAAACCTTCTTAATGTGACACTAAGAATTCACCCTGTGCACTGAGAGCAGGGTCTCCTCCAGGTCCAGAGCAGCAAGCTGTTCTTCAGCCTGCAGTTTGGAGGAGTTAATGCTGAAGGAGCTTTATAATAGTAAAGGGGAGAAAAAAGTCAAGCCTGGAGGGTATTTAACAGGCCTTAGAAACCTTTCTCCTGCAAGGGAGGATTAATGTTCTCCTCCCATTCCAGCCCACCTTCATTTTTTTTCCTTTACAATCCCTAAAAATGCAGTGATTCCCTGTAGCCCATGATCAGGAACTTCTAGACCAGAGACATAAGAAAACAAGCATTAGAAGGTCTTCTAAGACAGGGGAAAGGTTGGGTGCTCTTTTGCATGTAAGAATCCCAGGAGTTATTTATACCTTCATCCTGTAGCAGCTGATTTATCACAACCTCCCAGAGCCAATAAAACATCACAGCGTGTTCTGTGGCCATGATTGTGCAAATGGAGGGCTTGTAATACAGTAAATTTAGCATTTAACTAAATGTTTGCATCTCGTGGAAGCAATGCAGCAGAATTCTGGTGACTGGAACACTTTCAATGGGCAAAGAGGTTCAGTTTCCTAGGGAAAGAATTTTTATCAGCTGACTCATTTTCAATTTTTATGAAGGCACTGGAAAAATTCCATTTTTGTTCTTCCAGTTAAGAAATTCACATGTGAAGTCAACACACCAGTGTTCCAGTGACCAGAGTTAAACAATTCTTTTTAAAAGGGAGAAAGTTGGCTTGAAAATACAAGCCTAAGAAGTTGGGGGTTTTTTAATATTTTTTTCTATCTGCTGAAAAGATAAAATTGACCAAAAAAAAAAAAATACTGGGAAAGAATGTGAAAGACTGCTTATCATATTTGCTTAACTCCTGCCTTGATTATATGAGGTGCTTTGCAGGAATTTATCACTGGTAACAAAGAAATACGTAGAATGGGTTGTCTTTCTAATAATATTGGCAACAAAGGCATTCTCTAGGTTGTAAGCACCAACCACCAGTGACTGAACCTCTGGAAGGCACACAAAAATTGGCTCAAATCAGTGCAAGTGTGGAGTTAATCAGAGAAGTGGAAAAAAACCCGGGTAAAATGTTGGGGTGAGGGTCAAGGCTTCCAGTAACCTCAGCAGTGCTGGGAGCAGGAGCCCTCCCAGATTTTAGGGAGCACTCAGCACCTCATGGGCATCAGTAATCTGAATTTATTGTGTAATTGAGAGAACCAGTAACACTGTAAATAAAACTGTTCTACAGAAGTTGTGTGGAAGTGTTCAGAAAATAACAGTAGAGGAGAATAAGTCCCAGGCTGTAGTGGAGGGTCAGAACACGTAGTGATAAATAATTCTGTCAGTCCCTCCTGTGTTTTTGGGAGTGATCACAAAGCATTTTGATGGGTCTGTGTCCTCAGTGCTTGTTTAAGAAAGTCTAAGTGGTTGTTAGCAATTAGTGGGTGCCCTGTGGAACTTGCCATGAGTGCTGTGTCAAGCTTACCAGTGGGATATGTTCACTGCAGGAATTCATGCAGCTTGGAGCCACTGGAAGTTTGCCTTCTGCAAGGCTATCTGTGTAATCCTTATTTTGGCTCAATTTCTGTTATTAATACTGAGCTCCAAGAGGTTCATCACAAAATATGGTGGCATTTCCAGCTGAATGTTTTATCCTCACACTAAGTCAGTGCTTTTGAAAATTCCAAACTGATAGAAAAACTCTTTTTAAATGAAGTTCCTTGCTGTACATGGCAATGGGTCAAAACTGGCCACTGCTCTGAACCACTCCGGTTGATTTATTTTTCTCCTTTTGTTTTTTTTTTTTCCTTTTTGAAAATTCTTAATGACAAAAGTGTTAATTTTCCTCATGCCAATCATAATGTCTTTGTAGTAGGATATGGGTCGTGGTTTGAACACGTGCAAGAGTTTTGGGAACATCACATGGATGCCAATGTACTTTTTCTCAAGTATGAAGATATGCACAAGGTAGGTTAGATGTAACAAAATGATGTTTTAATTACATTTAGCACCCCAGTGTTTAAAATATATAAAGCACAAAATCTGCTTCTTCTGTCCATAACTGGGACTCTCTAAGTCTGATGCCATTTTTAAAGCACTGGCATTCAGTAGCTTCTTCATATACATATTAATTTACTCAGGAGTCTGACTCACCCACAGGCACCAAACTACTTGCAGAGAAGGCAGTGGAGTGAAACTGTTCAGCACTTGCTACACTCAGCCCTGAGCATTCATTAGAAGAAATGTCTTGCTGTATGTGCTGTATAAGTGGGGGGAAAGAAAATTATATAATCTGTATTTTTTCCTGTATATTTGGCGTTTATTCAGATTATTTTGTTCTTACTGCTTTATGTGAAACTGTTGAAAACAATTAGATGTGATCACGTAGCATAAGGTGAACATAATTATTGGGTCCTTACAGTGTGCTGGCTAATAAATCCAATTTAATCAGAAATCTAGTGGAAATACCACACAGAATGTTGATTTCCATTTCTTATTGCAGTGTGATATTTTTGAGGATTAATGAAAATATTTCAAGATGTTTATTTGGCTGGAAAACTAATGGAAATGTGGGGAAAACCCACGCTGTAAAGAGGCAAAGTCAGGGCAGAACTCAAGAAAGCTGGGTAAATTATACTTCTGATGGAGTGGGGTGCTGAAATAAATAAATAAACTAATAAAATCAGAGTATGTAAAGTTGAGTCAGAATTATTTCAAATCCGTGGTTTTTAATGATTGTATATTCCTGGCTGTGCTTACTGCTGGATGCTGCTGGAAGCTGGTGTCTTTCTGCTTCCTGATAAATATTACTGGTTTGTCCTTGCAGCTCCAGAGGTCTTACTCATACTAAGGAACCCTGGAATTCTAGAGGTGCAAATGAATGACTGATTAATGCAAATTAATTCTCAGAGGCCACCCCACTAGATCCTTTCCATCTACATGAGTGCAGCCCCAGAAGCTGGCAGTGACAGAAGGAATGTTCTAACCTCTGTGATCATTTATTTTACTGAGATCAAAGTCAGAGTAGCTTGTAATTCCTCCAAAAAGCACTTTGGAATTCCAAAGTGATCAGTTAAGGGTGTGGTTCCCTGAAGTGGGAAGCGTCGCAGTTACTTTGAATTCCCCTTTCTAATATTTGAAGAAGTTCCATATTTGAAGGCTGTGGTCTCTGCCAACCTGTTTCACCCTCATTCCTTGGAATGTGTTTGTGTCCAGCAAATGTGAAGGTGGCAAAAATTTCGAGGCAGTGCTGTTTCTGCAACTTCTGCACTCGTGTTTTTCACGCTCGTCGGGATAAAACTCACCTTGAAATATTTAAACTCACTGAGGAAAAAAAAAATTTAAAATATTTTTAGTAAACTGGGGTTTAAATATTCTCTTACAGGACCTTGCAACGATGGTTGAGCAGCTGGTGAGGTTCTTAGGAGTTTCTTATGACAAAGCCCAGCTGGAATCCATGGTGGAACACTGCCACCAGCTCATTGACCAGTGCTGTAACGCAGAAGCTCTTCCTGTGGGCAGGGGTATGTTCCAAACCCACAGTAAAACCCTCCCTGGAGAAGTTGCAAGAAGCAGCTGCACAACTTAGTGACCTCCAGGGTGGGTTAAGGTGTTGGTGAAATATTGCTGTAAATGATAGAAATGATGCTGTAAATATTGCTGTGAAAATGGTGGGAGGTAACTGCCTCTGGGTGCAACTTGGGGGTTAGTTTGGTTGGAAATAAAGTGAAGTGGGAGTGACTGAAAAGGGTGAAAAAATCCAAGGTTAACTGTATATTCACACTGTGATGTGAATATGCACTGCTCCTTCTGACCTTTACCATACCAAAGCCCACACAATTCCATACAGTTTATCCTGGCCTAAACCCTTGTTTTTTAAGTATATCAGGTTTTCTAGAATAGCAGATATTCCTAATTTTAGTTTCTAAAGTCACAGGGAGCTGTAGATTCCCTTCCCTTACGAGCTTTTCCTTTTCAGTGCCTACCTCAGCTGTTTAAGGTTTGTTCAGCTTCCAGGTGTTCATTTTGGTGAGACCTTTCTTTGGGAACCTGAAGGTGCCATTTGATCTGTTGATACATCTGGCCTTTGATAGTGTCAAGAAATCAAGTCCTTCCTCAATTGTCTTTGAGAAGTATGAAAGGGTGAACTTAGGTTCCCTCTAATTATTTTCTGTAGGTTGTTTTATAGCACTCAAGGGCTTTTTTTAGAAGTGAGGGAATAAGATCAAGATGGTCAGTTCCTATGTCAGCCTCACATCTACCTTGTCCAAACATAAAATCACTTCATACACTAGTTTAACCCAGTTTTATTTGGAACTCTCCCTTCTTTGTCCATCCATAGCCATGTTAGCACTTTTTGCATCAGCATCAGACACCATGTGTCTATCCTGACCACAGAGTCTTTCAGAGGAATTAATGTCCAGGTTATTATCCCTTACCCAGGGCTTTGCTCTCAGATTTCTGCCTGTAGGAGCCATTTCCACACCACCTCCCTCAGCCAACCTTCGTGTGACCTGCAGATCTTATCAGCTGTCATTTTTATGCTTATTTTCAAAACTCTCATAAAAAATACCAAGTATCCTCAGCCCCTCTTGACTGCTGACCCTGCATTAGCCAGTTATTTGTCCCTTAATCGTGCATTTCATTCACATTGTGTAGTTCTGTTAAAAACCCACTGAAATCACACACCTTACAAAAGCCAAATTGTAATTTTACCAACACTCAGGTTTGTCTGAGGGTAGGTTTGCTTTGCCATGAAAGCAGGTTCTCTGGGATTCTGTCCTACCTTTGTGTTTTTCTTGTAGAGTCCTTCAGCAGTTACTCAGCTCAGACTCTTTGCCAGAGTAACTTGTCCCGTTTGTGTGTTGGCACAAACATTTCCCAGTGCCATACTTGGACAAAAGCCATTCCTCACACCTCCCTGCTTTTATCTGAGGAGGCTTCATTTTGCCATAGAGGAGGAAGGGAGCTACAGCAGTTAATGTGATATTTTGTCATTTGTTCACTGTGTGCTTTTCAGTAAAAATATCCTTATTTTGAATTTCTTTTCTTTGCTGTCTCTGGCTTTTACAATATTTTGTTACTTCAGAATGTAGCTTCATTAGCAGTGCTTTGTTCCCTCTCTGTTTGTTTCTGTGGCAAAGAATGGTGGCAATAACATGACAGCTTATTGTAATTTGTTTCAGATATTTTTGATTTGTCATTAGTTACATTTACTTTATTATTTTGCTTTATTTTAGTTCTTCATATTTTTTTTTCTTTTAGCACATTGATCTTTACTCTGAAGATAACCCTGAACTGCTGTGAAAGCAGAGCAGTGATTAGATATGTTACTTGTATTTGACTCTTATCACATCCTAATTTACGCAGTTGCATGGTTCAAATCAGAAACCAGGTGGGTGACTTTTTGACAAGCTATCACTTCATATGGCAAAAAAAACCAAACCAAAACAAAAGATGATGCAAATAATCCACTGTGTGTGTCCTTTGTAAAACTTGTCGTTTGTCTGTACGTGTTGTTAGGGAGATTCAGAAATAAAAGGTGTTTCTTTACCCAGCAGAGGAAGAAAGTATTTTATTGTTATAGTTGTTTGAAGTTTCATTTTTCATGCTGTACTTTATGCAGTTATAGTGGCCAGAGCAAAATTTAAGTCAGAATGAGATGTCTATGCTTGCAAACATTTTCTTAATATTTTTCTTTTTTTTAAATACAGGAGAAATTTGGTGAAAACAGTAAATAGCATTTGCAGTTTCAGGTTATTTTGATCTTTGGATCCTGAAACAAAACCAGGATATTATCATACCTACAGGAGTTATAGAAAAGTCCTGGTTTCATAAAACAACCCTTGCCACATGTCATGTTAACATGTGATATGTAGATGTTTTGTCTCTGGACTCAATTATAAAGTTGCTGCATAAAAGCAATGGTAATTGAATTAAATGGGTATTCTTCTTATGCATCAAGTGCATAATTAAGCTCCCTGCATGTAGCTTTGTTCTTGCTGTTATGATTAAACTCTCTGGTAGCACAGTCCCAATTCTCCTTTCATTTATTCCAGTCGAACAAGCCTGGATTTTGTCTTTATATCCAACATAAATGAGACAAGAATTGGGCCTCTCAGTCTGGTTACTCCATGGGGGCTTATTCAGCCATACGTAACCCTGGCTGACTTTGAGTTAAATAAATTTTGGACTGCACTGGAACAGTTGTTGAGGGGTCAGCAGTGTCACCTGGTTATGTTACTGTTTGGGTCCAGCAGAGTGGATAAATACTTTGTACAAGGAAGGAGTTCAGTGTCCATGTTGCACCCACCCAAAGCTTCCTGTTGTTCAAAATTAAAATTTAAGTGGCACAGACTTGGTGTGTGGCACTTGTTGTCTTTCATAGATAGGAACAAGGCACTGATATTTAACAAACAAACCTCTCCATATGGAGGAATGTAAATTCATCTGTTGAACTTACCTCTAGACACAAAATGATAGAAATTAGCAATGAAAATACCACACTTCAGTAATCAGTTTAATACTCCACATTCTGTGTACCTTTTGGATACTTCCCTAACCAGTGTGTGCTGGAGGCACAGTGATTTAGAAATGTATTATTAGCTGTTGGAATTATTCAACAGGCACAGTTTGCACCAGAAATCCACCTTTAAATGAATACGCAGCCCCAACTCTGTTCGTTTCTGATTGTCTCACACAGAACTGAATTATTCCTGTATAATGCTGGGCTGGTGCAGATGATGAGGGGTATGGCATTTATTTAAAGAGTTGTAGCAGGATAATTGGGTAAGACAATGAACAGCCTTTGGTCTCATTAAGCTTTCAGTGAAAGCCAAGGCCAAGATTGATTAGAATCTCCCAGATGATACTTGGTGCACAATTAGACTGTAGATATTCAGTGTCCTGTTACATCCACTCTCTGACTTGTGTTCCTTCTCTGTGTTTCAGGACGAGTTGGGCTATGGAAAGACATCTTCACCGTTTCAATGAATGAGAAATTTGATTTAGTTTATAAACAGAAGATGGGAAAATGTGACCTCACATTCGATTTTTATTTATAAAAAATGCATGCCTATGATATCCAGATATAGCTAGAAGTGCTTTATGCATTCGTTTATTACCTGCTGGACAAACTACTGTAGCTATTATGTGTAATAAAATTTAAAGAAAGGAAAAACCAATCCAAGTAAACCATATCAGATACAATTTATCTTTGATCCTAAGCAGCTGTTTATCTTCTGGTATTTAAATCCTGCGTCCACATGCAAGAACTTCCCAGGCAATACTAGAACATTCAGCTGTTATGGAATGTATTATATACGTATAAGGTATGTACCATATATGCAACTAGAATGTACACCTTTTCAGCCCCACATTGATTATTTAATGTGTTTTATAAAAGCTTGTCACTAGAACCTAAATAAATGTCCATAGACCAAATAATAAAAAAAAAAATTAATGATTTCTGAGGGAAACAAGTAACAGGCCAAAATATTCTGTTAGAACGATCTCAGGGGTTAATCGTCACATTTATTTTTATAGCAGGTATAGCAAGTATAAATAAATCCCATCCCAAAACAGGAACTGATCCAAGTGGGGTTCACATTAGGTTCTGCACACCCTTATCTGTGTGATCTGAGTAGGTTTTCTGTGCACTGGCATATTCTGCAGGACAGGGCTTGTTGTGATGTGCGGCTGTGCCTGTCAGCCTGATCCCAGAACCCACCCCTGCTTTCAGGGATGGCAGCTCACAGCTGAGCAGTTCAGCTCCACGGGGAGGGGCAGCAAACAGAAGATCCTTAAGCCCTCAAGTCCAGTTCAGTCCCACAAAACTGGGCTTAAAGTCAAGGCATCTGGGGCAGGGGCTTTCTGGAAGGATCAGTCTCTGACCCGTATCGCTTTCCTGTGTAGATCTGGATTTCTCCCATTAGGAGCAGGGAATTTCTGCTGCTGGAAGAGAGAAGCTGAGGTGCTGGGTAGCCTCTGGTTCCACTAAAAGGTGAGGGCACTTAGCTGTGTTTATGGCTGGTGCTCCTGGACTCCAGCAGCCCTAAGGGGAAGGTGAGTCTCCGTGCCAGTGTAAAGCAGGCAGAGGGAACCGCAGCATCCGAGGAAGAGAGTTGGTGGATGTGCCAGCAGGTGGGAGTATTGCACAAATATCCGTGCAGAACACAGTTCCAGGAATTGTTAGCCATGACTGGTCTGGATTATAATCAGGATTCAAGTTTCTTTCTGTATCTTTTCTTTTCGATCTCCACGACAGGTACTCAAACGGCCTGAAGCAGGCTACTATCACTATAGAATCTCCCAAATTATTTTCTTTGTTCCATTATGTAATGACATCCATGCTTTTTAGGTTCTCAGCTGCAGGAGGCCCGTTTTTGCTAGTCAAATGTTCAGGCTCACCAAAAAACCGTGAGGAAAGGACTAGCTTTTAGTGTTTCAGTTCTGTTGGGAAACTGTCAGTTCAGCAACTGGCAAGTGGTGTAGCATGATGTGGCTTGACAGCACTTTTCCTTGTATATTTGTGAGTGAAAATGCTTTCAGTGAAATTTTATTTCTATTTTTATATTTTTAGTACTGTATGAATATTAAGCACTACACATTATACTTCTGTGCTTGCTTGCTTACTGAATAAAAGATGTGTTCCATGCCTTGTGGTTGCTCATTTTCTAGACCTGCTCAGGGCCAGGTGGTCTTTGTGAGAGCCTTGGATCCTCTCTCCTACCCACAACTCCTCCCTGGAGGCAGAAGAACCACAGAAATTGGGTCAGATAAGCACCTGACCCATGAGCTGTGTCTGACAGCACCTCAAAACAAACCCCTGTGCAAGAGACAAATACCCACAAACTCCAACGAGCTGCAAGAACACAGGAGTAGGAGAATTCCCTCTTGCTACAGGGGAAGAAAAAATCCCTTCACCATTCCTGCGGATTAGAGTCAGAAGAAAATTTCATTAGCACCAAGAGTCTACTTAAATCACTTAATCCTGGAGATGCATGAGCAACACAACCTTACTGACTGGCTAAAGGGCTTCTCACATTTCTGGAGAGACCAGGGAATCCTGCTCTGGTTCCCAGGCACAGCCACTCTCCTTTGCTATGGCTGATGTCCAGCCCCAGCCTCCAAAGCCAGGAATGTTCCACAGCCACGTTTTTAACAGCCAGGTCTCTTCACAGGTTGTTTCCAAGCTGAGCCTCTGCAGAGGGCCACCAGCTACCAGGCTGGAGGGGGCACAGCTGGTTTGGCCAAACCCCTGTTTTCTAGTCCTAAAGAGCAGTAGTTGGTGTGACAACCTAACAAAGTCTGGTCAAAGCCCGTTCCCACGTAAGCCGTGCTGAAATTCCACCTCTGGGTCTCTGGTCCCTGGATTTCAGTTTTTCTATTTAAATCCATAGGTGGTAAGTCCCTCCCTCTTTTGACAACTTGGACTTTCAGGACTTGGCCAAATGTCACCAAACACAGACACCCCTTGGCCCCGTGCCCCAAATTGTCTCTGGAGAGAAATCCTCTTTGGTACAAATGCACTGCAAGTGAAGAACAAAAATGGCAGAAAACCAAGAGAATTATCTTTTTTTCCTCCCCTCAACTAATCTAGGCAAGAAATCTTTGCAGAGTTTTGTACACAAAAGGTTTTGTACACAAAAGCAGTGAAGCTGGGCAGGAAAGAGGAAAGACAAGAAGGCTAATGAGTAACCACTAAAGATTCTCTGCATTTTGTACAAGCTTCACGACACAACATGGCTCCAGTAGTTCTGGCAATAATTATAAAGATTTATAGGCTTGAGTCACCATTATTATAGGCCATTCAGTCATGCCTGGGCTATAAATAACAGCACTTAGTAGCTACCAGCAAAGGTTTAAAGGGAGGATTAAGGAACCACATTTGCTGCTTCAGTCAAAAGAAAAAGGCTAAACAGAGATTCAGCTGAATCAAATAATATTAACAAAAAAAAACTCCCAAGCCCAGTGACCACATTTGTAGGAAGGACACAGCACAGCAATGATGATGTGTAGTCTCACTCCAAAATCCATCTGATTTCTTTACTACAGGATCTGCAGACTGGTGTCCTCTAGTGTTTGAATCATAAAACATATGCAGATGAGTATTTTCTCATAAGCAGATGAGTCGTGGTGCGTATCACACAGAACAGAAATAAGTGCAACCAATAATCAGCTTCATTCTGGCAGTGGAAAGAGAGTGGAAAATGAGCGTCTTCTTTTAAAAATAAAGCATACCCAGATTTTGGCATAATGAGGCTTAGACCTCAAGTGCCAAGTCATAGCCTAGTAGAAACTGCTGGTTTATCTTCAGAGGGTGGTAAGGAAGTCAAGAACACTGATGCCACTCAGCTCTGGTCTATCAGCCTAAAACCCAGCCCTTTAAAAGATGGGAGAGTGATGGCAAATCCTGCAAGCAGAGTGGAACAACAACCCCTTACAGCTCTCAGGCTTGAGTCATGCTTGGGTGCATGTAACATCCAGTGTCCTTCTGGAAGCATCTGAGCTGTGTGGGCTTCCAAACTGAATGTGAGGGAAGTTCACAAAAACACTGGGTAAGTCTTTGTGCTTTAGAACTCCAACGTGTGGGAATCACTGTTACACGTGGGAATTCCTATTACACGTGGGAATTCCTATTAGCAGCTCAGGACCATAAACTGGTTTCAGGAAGAGTGAAGCTGTTTGCACCAACTGAACAGAGAACAGAAAGGAGAAGCCTTTGTAGTCCCTGCTGATGCAGGAACCTCCACGAGGTTGTTTTGGTGAGCTGTGCTGTGCCAGCACCATTATTCTGGATTTTGCCACTTCATCAACGGGCAGAATTGTAAAGCCACACAACAACCTCTGCTGGAGCCCTGGCTGTGCACAGGTGACAAGCCCTGGCAGTGCACACTGGAGCAGTTTTAGGAGCTGCCACCTCCAGCTGTCCACACTGCCCCTGTGCCAGGAATGGCCACTGTGGAAGAGAGGCAGCAAAGGGCAACGTGTGCTGGCTCCCCAGCTGCTGTGGTTCACAGGCTGCCACACTGACTCACACTGACAGGGGTGGTGGCTTCAGAAAACAGGCTGGTTTGTGAACTGCAGCTGCAAAGAGCCAAAGCACGTCCTCAGGCGTGGAGGTGTCCTCCCAGCTCCTTGTCAGAGCTCCTCTATGGATTTTCTTTCACAGATTTCACCTGTGAAAGATTGTCTGTAAAGGTGGAACCGTGTCCTTCAGCAAGAAGGAGAGAGAGCTCCATGCTGCCACATGGAGTGTGTTAACTAAAACCTGCCTTTGGGAGGAATCTTGTGCTGCAGGAGGCAGTGCTGCAGTGAGACACGCTGTGTGACAGCAAGCAGGATGCAGAAGGAATGGTGAAGCAATGGCAGCTGAGTGCTCACACTGATCCCAATCACAACCACTAATATGCCTGACTTGCTTGATGTGTGTGGTACGAGTGATATTCCAAATGACTGCCACCCAGACAGTTAAATCCACTGTCACCATCTCTGTCACACACCCAGCTTTTGCCAGCACTGAAGGCAAGATGACAATTTAATCCTCACATGCAGATAACAGTAGCACAGCTGCTGTAAGAGTGTGTTGTGACTTCAGCCCTCCCAGGCTTTGGGAAAGAGTCTCCCACAAAATATGTGAGAGATCCGAGGTCTCAGAACCAATTGGAACAGGGAAAACGTTTAGATTTCAAGCTCCACGGGGAAGACACTCTTTTATTTCAAAAGAAAACAACAACAACAACTTTTGCCAGGTACCATTCTTGTTTGCTTGTGTCCCCTAATTGTTTCTGGTGCTGCAATTCCCCCCCAACAGGCAGCTCTAACTCTACTGAGATAATCCTGGAAATGCTGCAGGAGACTTTCAGTACCTGGGATTGCCACCAATCCATAGCTGGTAGGATTTAAGCCCACAAAGGGAGATCCACAGTGAGTTTCCAGATCCAGTTCTTTAACCACCCTGCTTCAGCTTAGGGGTTGGTCTCTCTTGACAGCCAGACCCTTTTGGACATGTTCCCTCAGTAAATACCAGTGAGATTAGAGACTAAAACTGGTTCTGACTTTGTTTTTAGTATTAAAGATCCGTGTAAGCCTATGTACTCTAAACAGGATGAAAAAGGAATATAAACAAATATATGATGTAGGTGAATTCAAGCTGTAAACATTTGGTTTTTAACCAACTATGGATCATTTGGTCACTCTTTTTTACTCAGTAATCTGCAGCAATTTACATGAAGCCTTTACATGAAGAAGTCATTTCCAAACTATTCTTTTTCTAGCAATAACTATGTTGCTGTGTGCAGCCATTACATCCCTACAGTCCTACTACATATTTCTGCCCAAGTCATTGTCTCTGAATGAACACCATCTCTGAATTCAAAGGGACCACATGAAAGGTAAGTTACACAAGCAAACATTTGTGGCAATCAAAGTTTTGATGTGCCCTGTGGGTCATTAATCTGTGTCAGGAACTACTGAAATACTGAACTTGTTCAAGGATGTTTGAAAACAGCATTATTGGATGTGTGCTGGGGGGTCTGGATCCTGCAAGACACTGTATTTTTTCCCAGAAAATGCCTATAATTTCCAACAAATCTTCAATTTATTAAAAAAAAATGCATCAAAGCTTAGGGGCAGACATAGAATAAGGCCCTTTTTTCACGTTGGACTGCAGTAATTTATGTAGTCCTTTGGAATTAACAAAAAGGCCACCAGTGCTGGGCTTTGGGTGATCCCAGTTCCCCACTTGAATGACTGGAAGTTCAGGGCAGTATAGAAGGCAGCCTTTTTGTTATTGAACTCCTTTATTTGATGTGTTGTAGGTTGGCTTTAACTTTGGGAGAATTTCTGCCTTTGGGACACAGTCCCTGAGTTCATAATATACAAAATTTTATTTTTCTTGAATATAAACCACACATGCTGTAGGTTATTTCAGTCTTTTGCATTACTCATCGGAATTGGGTCTTGGAGTAGAAATTTCCATGTTTGCTGAATCATCTGCTGGAGCAAGAAGGTTATTGCCATTATTAGAGGGGTGCCAGGGCCCTGCCTGGTTGGTTGGAGGTTTATTTCCAGCTGTACCCCCTTATTTGGTAAACAGAGGAACACAGCCACTTATATGACATCAGACCTTTTAGTGGGCAGGGCTCTTGGAGGAGTTTTGTCCTGTGCTGGAATCCAGAAAGCTCTGTCACACAGGGACAGAGGGAACCTGGGATCTGTGGGATTGTTCATTCTTTCTAGGGAGAGCTTTCATGTTTATTTGCTTCCACTTTGGGTGTTCCACAAAGCAAGTGCTACTACTGTTTTCCCTGGATTGTGTGAAGTGAGGAGAAAACTTCCTTGGCCATGCTCTGAGCGGGGCAAAGGCTGGCTGGAAGTAGTCAGTAATTCTAGAATGAGCCTGGAAAGAGGGAAAAGTAGCAGACTGAGAGCATACTGATTAAAGATTTCACAGCTGGAGTCAGGGAGGTGACAAAAGGAAGGCAATGAGCAGACACTGTTTTTACAGTGGGTGGTCTGTGATTGTTTTTTTGCACGCCAGAATTTTTTCCCTGGCTGATAAACATGAGCAAAGGTGCTGCAGGCCTGGGAGACAGAGCTCCAGGAGGGAACCTCTGCTTTCCCCATCCTTTGGGTTTCAGGGTGACCTGCCCTG